TAAATTAATATTTTTATATATTTATATATTGGTATAAATATATATACTAATTTATATATTTATATAAATACATAGTATGTGTATATAGATATATGTATATATGTAGTTTGTTTTGATCTAAGGGCTAGAGACCAAACCTAAAACTTTTTGAAGTTGGGAAGAACATTTAAGTTCAATTTTCACATGAAAAAATGTCAGTGACTTGCCCAAGAGTCTATTGGAATCTCTGTGTGTCTCAGGTGGTATTTGGATAGTTATTCTTTCAGACTATTCTGCTCTATTCATTAAATCATACAAAATGGATCCATTAACATATTCATACACTGTAAGTGACACCTATTCCTCCCATGATTTTTAAAAAAATGCAACCAATAATTGAATGTTTCTTTTTTCTTTTTACAGAAAAGACTGATGTCCCTAGATAAATTTCCAATTTCCTTGACTTCATGGATTCATAAAATGTGGGATAATTTGACTTCATTTGTGTAGGTGAATGAGTTCTATGATAAACAGAACAAAGCTAATTATGCAACTTTGTTGGATATCTAGAGGGAAACTCGTAATCAAAAACATTTCATGCTGAATAATTATTTTGCATTTACTCTTGCCCTCAGGAACAAAGAGTTTATGAGTTTGTGTTACACATAAATGTGCTTCTATTTTTAGTTGAAATGAAGGCCATTGAATTGAATTGTGTGGTGACTGGACAAGTTTAAAAAACTCTTGTCATGATACATTGAAATCTTTTAATCAGTCCTGATTTTTAAGACTATGTCTAGTCTAGAACTCTTAAAAATTAAACTTTACATAAATTAATTCCCTATGGAAATAAGGGTCTAGCTTTTTCTTTCCAACATATCTCCTCTTTTTCCTTTTAGAGGGAAGGTAGCATTATAACTATGAAAGATTTTGATCTGTGACTATATATACCAATGCATTTTAATAAAACCAGTAGCAAAGTTGAGAGTAAACTTATTAATTTTGAAAATATTGTATTAACAAAATGCAACCAAATTCAAATATATCTAAGTTCACAAAGTCCAGTTCCAGCCAGAGGACACTATAGAAAATGTAACTTCCCATGATTGTCTCTATGGCTGAAGGAGAAAAAGGTTTGCATCAATAAGGACTTTGGATGATTCACCTCTTGCATTAATCATGTGCTTCATGCAGAGATTTTTTCCAAAAGTCATGCCTAGTCATTGTCACTTCCTTGGGTGGCCTTTTGCTGCTGGATGGAACTCTAAATGTTTTTATTTATTAGAGTATGCATTGTAGCACTGGCATAACTGTACACATCATTCATATGCTGTCCTCCCTAAAAACTTTGCTTTATTTATGAAAGTGTGGGGAGATATCTCAGCACAACTATGGTTTAACTATGGTTAAACACAGGTTTAACCAAAATACAACTTTGTATCAATCCTCCAAAATGAGGTGGTGTGGAGGAAACAGATCATCATCAGTAATAGGATCACTGTCCAAGGAGATGTGAATTTTGTTTTCTGTGAGATTTGGCAAAGTAGACAGACAACAGAACACATAAATGTTAGTTGAATTACTACTTGCTTTTTTAAATGTCTGACAGAAAAAAAATCAATGGATTTCTTCCAAAACTGTTATCTAATTGAACAATAGCATTTTCTCTTAATGTCCCTGTAATTGAAAATATGTTTTGAAGCTAATTGAGATCTTGTGCAAATGAAGACTAAAACCATGTTTTCCCAGTCATCCCAGTACTCCTTTAATTTCACGTAAAGTTGATGAACAGTATCATTAAGTACAAATAAAGCAAGAAGACAGATTAATTTTACAATGACCCATTCTATTATAGAGACTTTAGTTCTTTCTTTTCACTCTTTAGTCTTTAGGCAAGTCATGATTAGGTACAAAAAATTGCAGGGCTACAATAAGACACCAAAATTATCTTCCCTAGTTGTTTTGAAATGCATAATATGTTAATAACATGTTCACTAAGCTGATATTTTCTATTTCATTTACAAAAAAGCCCTTTGTGTTACCAAGGCTTGTTTGACTATTTTCACAGAATGAACTATAATCACATTTTAGAATAATTTATAAGGTTTGCAACAGTGCGTTAATTTGTAGCTTACCTCAAAGTGGGCAAAATGAGATCTAAGTTTTTGTATAGGACTGCTCCAAGAACAAATACGGATGATTCATCTAATTCTAGAAAGAATAAAATTAAAACTATTAGGAAAACAGCAAGAAAAATACTGTTTTATAAAACTTTAATCTGTTAATCCCAAGGGGATTTCTGTACAGCTGTTAAAAAGATGCCGCTAGGTACTGAGAAGTGTTCTAACTCTGCATGGGGCAGTTTGAGCACACACTCTGCATATTAATTACACTACTATAAGACATGTTTTTGGTAGAGGCTGAGACAAGAATCTGCTATAGTTGCATTTAAAAGTTTAAATACCCAATGACCTGGAGAAAAGAGCTGATTTTTCTTTTTTTTTTTTTTTATTGGTTGTTCAAAACCTTACAAAGCTCTTGACATATCATACTTCGAACAATAGTTTCAAGTGAGTTTGTAGCATTTAGTTTTAAGATCAAAGTCTCCAAAGCAACAATTAAGACTACAATGTCACTTTTGATGATAGCCATTAATTTTAAAGGCTACTTAAAATGGTCTTAAATCTTAATTTTTCCCCCTAAATTTGTTTCTATGTGCCAAAATAATATCTTCTAAGCAAAGCAAATTTTAACATGAGGCAGAAGTAGAAATGAGTTTGTATGCATAATGCAATAATTTGTACTTATATGTTTTCCTCTCACTTTAATGGATCCTTTCCTTCAGTAAATTCAGAGATTTGTAAGCCAAGTGTAAGCTGCCTATATTTACAAAATTAGATTGGAATCATGGTTGTAAATTGTGTCAAAATTGTTTAATGTTTACACCTAGGGTTTCATTAAATGACTTCATCAGAAATGTTTTGTTCAAAACTCAGATTATGTAGTGATTACCTTTTGAAGACACAGGAGTGAAAATACTTTTTGGAATAACTACCCTATCTTCTGAATTTCTTGCCCAGTCAACCATTCCTTTTCGTCCTTTCATTGGGAAGTTGATGTCTGTTAGAACAGAGGCTGCTGGAAGCTTCTGAATGCTAGCCACTGTTAAAAAAAAGAAAGAACAGTGTCAAACAGTCTTGCTTTACTTTTTTAGTGTAATTAAAATTGATCAAATTAAACCTTGCAGCATATTCAAAATAAAGTTCAAGTCCAAATAATATATACTGGAGCAGCAAAATAGACACGTATTATTATCAGACAGTACTTTTTTTGTTAAGGGTGCTTAATCCTTCTTTTATCAATATAGGATTTGTGTTATTTTCAGCAGAGATTATACCATAATGGTCAATAATGGAATCAATATTCTGAAAGTACCAACAAATGCTGTCATACTGATGGTTCATAGTTAGTCTCTATTCCAACTGTTAGACACTCATACTGTAGTCTCTATTTTTGTTAACAGACTGAAATTTGTACTTAAATTTTTTACTTTGTTTTCAAAATGATAATTTTTTTTTCTTGTTTCCAGGAGCTGGATTTTTTTTTTCAAAATGATAATTTTTTATCTGAGCATTATTATCAGAACAAGTTTATTTTGGATTAGATAGGGTACCATGAAGACATGGATAACAAAGCCACATTGCTCTGGGAGACAGAACTGTCAGTCAAATGATTATAGCACCAATATTGACATAACTACTGAGCTGTTAGAATGTGCAAGAACATTAATCAAAGAGATTAATAATAATATAATCTTAAGACTTCTTCCTAAAATTGAAAGGAAAATATATGTTAATGGAGGATTGTGTCTTTACTAGCAATAAACATTTTAATAGATATTGAAAAAAATCATAAATGATATGTTTGGTAATGTCTGAGCATTTTTATTATATGTAATATGTGTAATACAAGTTCTTATGTTTTAAGATGATTTATAAAAATCATCAATTAAGAAGTTTAATTTGTAAAATTTTACATGGGTTCATGCTGTTTCTACATGAATTTTTCAAGTGTCCCCTGGAGGATTTAAGTGGAAAGATGATGGGGAAAACTGTAAAAGCTGTCACAATAGGAAAGCTAAAATAAAAAATCATTAGGGTATTCCTAAGTGGATTTCATTTTAAGGGAACTTGTAATTTAAATCAAGAGAGGATGAAAGTTAAGAATTTAACAATATTAGTTGTATAAATATATTACTGCACCACTGGCTTAGTTTCGAATTAAATTGGTTATGTATTATTGCATCACACTAGTGAAATTATACTTCATTAAAGCTCTTTCAGGCTATTATACACATCCATTATCAGCACAGGATGGGATTTCATTTTGAGTGTAATTTGACATATTAAGTTTGAAAAAGGATTTTCTAACTAAATGTTGAAGGAAAGAAGGTACTGGGTAATGCATAAACTATGTAAGAATGTTTAATGCTATTTTTGAATAACAGTTATAATTGTTTAGTTTAATTTTTAACATAAAATACTTTTCATGTTCATAATTAATCTAGCTCAAATGTCCCAAAGAGTACAAATTCTCTTGTGCATGGAAAGATCAGCACATTCTTCCTTGTGTCCCCTAAACTTTATTTTAAATATTATTATTATTAATTTTTTGTTACCAGGAATGGAACCCAGGGGCACTCTACCACTGAACTACATCCACTGTCCTTTCTAGTTTGAGACAGGGCCTTCTTGAGTTGCAGAAGCTGCCCTGGAACTTACAATCTTCCTCCCTTTGTCTCCTGAATCAATGGGAATATAGTTGTGTGTCACTGTGCCCAGTCTACACTTTATTTAATGTCTAAAATAAAGTACATCTACTTCAATTTCTTTGATTCTAACTATGGTTGTCTTGGGGTTTAGACAAAATCATCTCTCTGACAAAAAGCTGATAAAAATAAATGAATGTTTTCTTATATATAATAGTTTTTGCTCTAAAGGAAAATAAACCAGAGATAAGAGGTTGGGCTCTGAGGTCTTATAATTTCTCTCTCTCTCTCTCTCTCTCTCTCTCTATATATATATATATATATATATATATATATATATATATATATATTTTTTATTTTATATATATATCTATTATATATATATATATATAAAATAGAAAACTAAAATGAAGTAATACAACAAAATTAAAATGGAGGATATCTGTATCAACTTTATGTCATTTTACCTTGGGTAAATTTTAGTTTAATACAATCTTTATAGATTTACAAAGTGCTTTAGTGGTATAGGCATGTATCTCACTTCATGAAACATTCATTGTTTAGTTAGAGGTACAGAAGCTGTCAAATTATAGTTATATGAATGGATTAAATTATACTTTTGAAAACAGTATAGTTTAAAGGAGTATAAAAATTGGTTAAGGTCACAAATTTGCACATCAAGTTCTTTAAATTGCATATTCATCAGTATAGGGAATGCATAAAACTAAATCTTTATTTCTTTATTATACTAAGAATGTAGTTTATAAATGTATACGTGTCTGGATATTATAAATACAAATAGATATATAAACATGTAAATTCTAAGTGGTTTGAGATTTTTTGGAGATACTGAATTATGTTTTGTTTCTTGAGTAATTTTTTAAATTTAGTTTTAATTGGAAAACCAAAGTTTATATTTATCACATACAACATGTTTTGAGATATGTATATATTGAGAATAGCTAAATTGAGCTAATTATCATATGCATTACTTCATATACTTTTTTTTTTGGTGAGAACACTTGGAATCTACTCTCTTAGCAATGTTCTTCTTAAAATAAGATGATATTTTCAGTAAACCATTATAAAATGGAATATGAAGCTGGCCATTTTGGCACTTGCTTTATTTCCAGCAACTGGGGAGGCTAAAGGAGGAGAATCTACAGGAAGATTGCAAGTTCAAGGCCAGCCTCAGCAATTTAGATAGGCCCTATTTCAAAATTAAACAAAAGTGGGGAAGGGTATGTAGTTCAGCGATAGAGTGACTGTGTTCAATCACCAGTATCAAAAACAAAACAAAACAAAACGAAAACAGTAGAAAGAAAATGTGATTTAATGGACATATAGGATTCAAATGCTATCCTTCAAATTATCAGTAAACATTTTTTAAAATATTAAGTATTCAAAGTTATATATGTGTGTGTGTGTGTGTATGTATTTTTTTTTATATTGGGAATTGAATATAAGGTTATTCTACCACTGAGATATATACCCAGACGTTTTTAAATTTTCCTTATTTGAGACATGCTCTCACTAAATTGTGTTGTCTGGCCTTGAACTTGTGATCCTCAGGCATTAGCCTGTAATGTATCTTGGATTACAGGTTGCACCACCTTTCCCAGCATCAAAATTAAACCTCTTTAACTTCAATCAATTTTTATTCAGAAAAAATTATTAAAAGATGACTTTTATTTCTTTCAGTCCCTTTAGGAAACACTTGGATAAATCCAGTTCACAATCCCTTCCCTTCATGGAGATTACCTGTTTCAAATACTTAGGTAAATTTAGATAGAGTCATGGCCTTTAGGGAAATGGGAAGCTAAGGTGTTAAGTGAATAGTAAAGAAGGAAGATTAAAAAAGAAATGTCTTAAATGATATCTAGTGTAAATACATGCCTAATGCTGATAAAGGGACATAATGCAAAGCCCAAGTGCACAGTTACATTGTGCTTTTGTAAAAACTGCTGAATAAAATCCAATCATTGTAGATGTTCAGTGACGGAGCAACTTGCTTCAAAAATCGAAAAAATGCCTTTCTTACAGAAGATTATAGTACTTAGAAGAAACCTCAAGGGCACTGTGTCCCTAAACAAATAGGAAAAATTTGAATTCACCAAGAATTATCTTAAATTCACTGTACAGTGTTTTCATTACAACACTAGATTTGATTTCTTATGTAATAAAAATAGGTGACACATAACTGATAAACATTGTAGCAAAACTAGCCACACTTCCATTTTTCAATTTTAATACTTTTATTTTGATTCTGGATATGCAGCATACAATACTTTGAAAGTACAATGTCTTGTTGGTTTTTTGTTTTTTAGATGGGGTCCCACTAAGTTCCTCAGACTGGCCTTGGGCTTATCGTGTCTTTAACTGTTCTTATTTTCAAAGAACCCAGGTTCAGTATAGATTTCTGTTCATCAGAAAGCACAAGGGAATTTTTGCAGACAGACCTCAAGGTACATAAGCTATTTCTTCGTGGAAAATAAAGATCACTCCTTTGGTTCATCAGTGAGAGATAGTGCTTTGAAACCTATCCATTAGGGAAATCATGAAGTTTTAACTCTTTCCTTTATGGAGGTCCTAGAGGATGGGGAGTCTGTCTTCATTGTACTGTGCTCCATGTAAAAACTGGAATTAATTAATTTGACACTTCACCTGAATTGTGGACAGAAATGGAGGGCATGTAGAAGGGAAACAAGAGAGAGCAAGAGAGTAAAAATGTATGGATGAAGGTTATAGAGATAAGCAAAACAGACAAAGGACAATACAAGAAAACAGCAGCCTACTGGAGTGGTTTATGAGCCGACTCTGGATCTGGGCCATGGACTGACTCAACTCCTGAGTTTTTTCTAGTCTTACAAGCTAGTTCCAGCTTATACTTGCTATTTCACACGATTATTCACAGAATACCCTATCAGTCTCTCAAGTCAGTTTGAAAGATAAATTCCACATTCATCTTACCAGTATACAATTGCCTAACCTCTCTGTGCCTCAATGTTTCTGTAATGTGGGAATAAAACCAACAACTACCTCATTGGGCTAGCAGAGGAATAAACAAGTGAGTATCCGTCAGGAGCTTACAGCAGTATACCCAGGGCAGTGTCTGGAGCATGGGGGTTCCAGGTAGCATCACGATGGCTAACATCACTGGAGCATATTTTATCATAATGAAGTTCAAGGAAACTATGCCACGATGTGTTCCATATTATGATGAAGTATTTGACTTTTGCAAAAAACATTATTTTTTTTTTTTGGTTGTCCTTCAGAGACCTTACTCAAGAGATTAAATATTCAAAACTTTCTGTTGAATATATTCATATAACCAAAGGCAGGAACTTCATTTAGAATAAATAGAGCTCATCCTGTAGTACTTAAATGTACCACC